CAGAGGGAGGCCTGACAAAGGAGCAATGGCGGCTGTCCCTCCAGTCCTTGCTCTGGTGCCACACAACTTGGTCCCTTTCCATATGTCTCTTGCACCTTCCAAACTGCTGACCCTCCACGGAAGCCCAGGGTGAGTGTCTGTGAGCGAGTGATTCTATGCGTGGGCCTTTTAAGGGGGATGTCTGGGTTTTCAGTTTCCTTCTGTCTCACCCAGATGGCCAAAATCCCCATTGATTTTTACAGTCAGATTTTGTGGGAAATCCTCTTTCCTGGACTGGAACCCTGTACTGGGAAGCCCATGCAGCCATGCTCTCTCCTGCTACTCAACCACCACTTGTGGCTGCAGGACCAACCACTTTGTGTCTCCACCCTCTCCTACCTGTCTCGATGTGGCTTTTTCTTTATCTCCTCAGATGTATGTGTTATGATCAGCTAGACTTCAGGTGGTTCTCCAGTTGTTTGTTTTATAATTTGGTTGTAAATTTAATGTGATCATGGGAGGAGGCGAACCCTATTTTTACCTAGCCTGCCATCTAGACCATAACTCCCATGTTAACCATTTTAAAGTGTACAGTTCAGTAGGTTTATGAACAATGTTAGGCAACCAATGTCACTGTTTAATTCCAGAACATTTTTATCACCCTCAAATCCCTGTTTACTTAACACCTAGCTGCAATAGGAGCTTTAATCTTGAGGAAGTTTGCAGGAGGAGAGATAAAAAAAAGAGGGATAGAAAGTTTGGGCTAAACACCTAAGGGTGGATGTCTTGATGAAAGATATTCTTTAAAATGTTGATTGGAGTTGGCTCTGGGGTGTTGGCAAAGAGATTCTTAAGAGTACTTTCTTAAGAGTATAGGACAGAAGCATTTGAGATCTTGCTCCCCAACAAACATCATCAGTTTGGTTCAAATAAATTCTTATTAAAAAATATATAGGACAGCAATAGCCTGACTCTTAAAATTAAGGAGATAATGTTTAGTCTTGTGTCACTGAAAATTACTGATGTCAATCCTATTACAACCCTCCCCTCAAAATGTGGTTGGCTCAATTCATACGCTGAGTCCTGGATAAGCCCGCCCGAGGTTGTACCTGCACTACCTGGAAGTGTCTTCTTAATGGGAATAAAACAAAGAGATGACTTGGAAGTTGATATGGCTTTCACTGGGACAATTGGAACATGCATGCAGGGACTAGATACCTTATTTGGTATACTAGCTGTGCATATTAAGAGAAATAAATTAAAAGAAAAAAAAAATCCAGAAGCATGCATTCCCTTTATATGCTAGCTAAAATTCTGTAAACCATGTAAACATGGTCCCCGATGTTCTGGTCAAACATAAGAGTTTTCATGAGCATTAAGATCTTAGTCAATAAGGTCTTTTGCAAAGTAACTTTGTCTTCCAAAGCCAAAGGAAGCAAAGATTTTGAAATTTAACCTCAAGTTCCTGCATACTAAGGTTTACCCAAAGGTAGAATCAAGCTCTGAAGGGGTACAATCGGCATTTCACTGAATTCTGCTAGTAACTAAAGCTGTAAGCACTTCAGGTGCAGGCTATGGAAATGAAGTAAAGAATCTGCCCTGGGCTGTGATTATTTGCACCAAGTAAAAACAACAAATAATACTCAGGCTGTAAGTAAGTTTTCCTGCTGTGCCAGTTTTATAATAAAGGTGTTTTTCTTTTTCAGTTGAACTTTACATTGACTTAAATCATTTATTTTCCTGGAGGTAATTTAAGTACATAGTCAATGAAATCGTTTACTGTGTTTACATTAAAAAAAAAAAAAGTTTGAAATCTCACTGTTTCATCAATTTGAATATACTTAAAAGTATTCCTAATATTCTAGAACCTCCCTCTGATTAGAAGAGCTAAATGGCAACCTAATATATATAGACTTAGAAAATGAACCAAACAAGGAAAAAGATTTAGCCCACATTTGGATAAAAAGAAGTTCTAATTTATTTGGAAATATCTCATTAATCTGCTTGTTCGAATTGTAGGCATCAGTTTGTAAATATAACAGAGAAGTAGCTTTATGTTAATCCAGTTAATATGTCATTTAGAATCAACACTTTTTCTCTGTCTTGCAATTTCAGTCGTTATAATAAGGCAGGCCTTTAGAGTAGGCGACTATGATGTCACTTGATGGAGGGTGGAAGGGGACTCTTTTCCAAAAATAGTTCACTCTTAATCTATTATGGGGTCTGGAATTGGACATTTATTTCTTGGATCAGAAAATTCTTTTGTTCACCAAGAAGCATCTACTTAAAAAACTGCAAATACTCATGGATGGGTGACTCATTAAGCATTACATTATATTTGACCGCTATGTGAGAATGTATTGTATGTGTTGGTTTTGTCCTTCACTCTTTCTTTCCAGTAATAGGCTATCCCTTCCTTTAAGGGAGTGCTTTTATCCCAATCCAGCCCTGTGCTTCTGTTGGAAGCTATCAATCAGAACATTCTTCTTCCCCAGCCTTATTTCTCTTGACCCCACCATGACCATGGCTTGTCCAAACTTGTCCCTATCCCTGGCCTCAAAGATTGGTCCATGTGCCTGCATTAGTACCCAGCACAAGCCAGGACAGAGTTCTTCCTTATATTTTTCCAACTGGAGCTGGTGGAAAAAAAAATTTTTTTCTCTTCTCTGAAGGACAAAAAACAGCCCATAGCTGCTTTTTGCTGTGTTTCCAAGTCTCTTCTGACATCCACTTAAGAGAATAAAGTCTTAATGCAGAGAGAATCAGAGATGAGAGACACCAAGTAATCTCTGAGACTCTGAATCCATTGGACTCCAAGACTAATAGCTTGCCCTTTCCTAGTTTGGTTACACTTGTGCCAATATTACCTTTTCTCCTTAAGCTATTATGACTGGGGCATCTGACATTTGCAAACAAAGGTCTGAGAACTGAAAACAAACATTTTATAAAAGGACACGAGATAACTAGGGGAGGGGTGGTGTTCTGGTTGAGGATAGTGTGTGGAAGGTGAATTAACCCTAATTATTCTGTGGTTAAATGGGGGTCCTGTATTAAAGTTACCAACAACTTTTCAGACTTTACTCTCAAGTGAATTGAGAGATAGGGCAAGGTGACCAAAGTCCCTGAGAATGAGAGCTAGTTTTACTCTGGGGCCTCAATGGCCTTGGCAATCTCCTGGGCTGTTGAATTCAGGATGAGGCTGCATGGGACCCATACAAGAGTAAGGATGTGCAAATACCTGACTTAAGCCCTTACTTAGTCCTGTATGTCAGTCTATTGACTCAGTTTCTCCACCAAATGAGAGAAACAACATGTAGGTCCAAAAGGGAGTCCCTGTTTTAAACCATAATTGACCTTGGAAAACTTATTTTATTTAAATCTTGTCTGTTTTTTCCACCTGTACTGGTTGTCTTTTAAACAGAAATATAAAGAAAAAATGGGCAAAGAAGGCAAGGTGGAATTTAATGTTTTCTATACTCTCTCAAACCATTAGAGTCCTGGTACCTCAGTATTATTTTAATTTTGACCTATCAAAGTTACAAAATTGTCATTAGACAGCAAATGATATTATTTTTGTAGAGTAAGAGTAACGAGAATTAGATATCTTGAAATAACTTTTTTTTTTCACGAGATTACAAATACAGCGTAGATGTTGAAAGCCTCTCTCAAGTGAGCTAGGGAACTTTCTCTAAAGTGCTGTATAATCAGTGTCAGCTTCTTATACAACTAATTTGAAATCTTTGATGCCTAAAGGTCTTATAAAGACCTTTAAATAGATAATGTTCTCTAAGGGTTTTATTTTTTTAAGTTTCATGATGGTGAAGGCGAATTCATAAACTATATTTTGTTCTTTGGAAAGAAAAAAACAAATTGACCTTCAGCATGTGTCTCAAGGTTACTATGTTACATGCCATTTCAGCCCTGGGAAAGTACTATTTAAAACTGAAAATTAAAACCAAACTCATATTAAAAGTTTTTACCGTGTGGTCAGGATGCTGGGAGTGTCTCACTTTCTGAAGCCACCCCATCGCCTACTTCCTCCTCCTCTATTTATTTCCATGGTCCTCCTCTTACTTATGAGTAATAAAGGAAGCCAGAGTAAGAACAATGGCATGTTCCTGGCTTTACAAGAGTGCCACACATCAGAGGAAGACATTTATCCCAGGGAACCACAGTTTTGCAAGAGACCCACTAGGCAGAAAGTGGTTTGATATCACCGTTGCATAGTAGAGATTGAAATAGGCTGACTGTGTTAGAACTGCACAGACACCCTGGGGTAGGGTAAATTCCTGTCTGGAGGCTGGCTGCCCAGGTGAAGCTCACAGGCATCTTGCCTGGGGCAAGGTTATCAGCATCTCTAAGCCTCTGCTTATTCTTGTAGACTACATAAATGTACTTACTTCTGAGAATTAAATACACATGAAGTACTTAACAAAATGCCTAGCACAGAGTGTTAAATGTTAATATTATTGCTAAGAGTCTTTTAGAGAAGGCTTAAAAAAATCCAAACCAAAGTGGCTGTTAAAATTTTTCTGAACCACCAGATTTTATCTTCAACCAGCCTTACCTGCTTGTTACTGGTTCATTTGTCTATTGTGTCTTAGTCTTTAAGCCCGTCTGCATTTTTAGATGAGCTCCTCTCCTTGCCCCACTCCAGAGCCCTGTCCCCGGAGGGCTTAGGTCTTCCTCCTTCGTCCCTGCCCTGCCCTCACTGCCACCCAGCTTGTGCAAAGACACTTATCAGATCTATTTCAGTCCAGCTCTTCAGCTTCAGAGACTTTCCTTTAAAGAACTGCTTATTCATTCATTCTCCATCTCTCTTGTGGTGAAAGTGAACCCAGTATAGAGTTAGTAGTTTGTGCTGTGTCCATTCATGCAGAATGGAGGTCAGGCCAGGTCAGCATGCTGCTGGGCCAGTGTGCTGCCTGGCACTGTGGCCTTGTTTTTGCTTTGTTGCCAATAAAACTATATACATCACCCAGGACCATAGGCCAGTGCAACTGTCACGTGCTAATACTGACCTCTAGGGGCTGGCGTTCCTTCAAATAGAGTCTTTATCTTCTCATTGAGTTCCAGGACAGTGATGGCAGCCTCTTGCTTAGCTGTTGCCAAATCAATTTGTAGCTTTTTCAGTTTCCTTTTGTGCTTTAGTTTCTAAAAAAAATAATAATAATAAAAGTTTCTGGAGACAGAAACATAAAAGGAATAAAAAGAACAAATGATGTCTGAACAAATATGGCCTTTGAAGCCAGGCTTAGATGAAATGCTCTCTGTTTATCTAGACTGAGTCCTGTCCTCAGTCATGAAACTGAGCGCATATGCAGTCAGAGCGTTCGAATCCCCAGTGAGCAAAGCCTACTCTCCACATCATAGTATCTTTTTACCCTCTTGAAGAGTTTTTTATCTGGATCTGAACCTTGTGTTTTGTTGGTTATAATAGAGGCAATTAGAGAAAAACTCTAGTTGGCAGTTGGCATTTTGCCACTGAGGTACCAATGCCTGAAAGTATTTGATTTTTTTTCCAATCTGTAGGTAGACTTACGCAAAATAGAGACTTGATTCTGTCATTTTTCATCCTAATACCATAATGGCTTGCATTCAAATCAATTCTAAAGGGTGTGATACTACCATGAAATGATGATGTTTATAGATGTTTATTATGGTATCCAGGTAGGGAAATTGGTCAGGGCTAGGAATGGTGTTCAAGCAATAGGGGAGAGGAATTCCTTGTTATAAAACAATCCGATTGATGATATCTAAACCTTTAAACAGCTACATTGGAAAGTTTTTATGTCACCAAAGGATTCACCTTGAGACTTTACAGCTGGAAGGCTCCTTTTATGATTTCAAAGTGAATTTGATTTGTCAAAATTGGATTTATCTGCAATTATGGAGAAGTTGTCTATTATGAAAAGTGTGGCATCTGCACTTTTGTGCTGTTGCCTTTCCACTGAAGAGCTCATCTTGCCAAGTCTTTGTGGGCAGGTAATTAGGAAGCCCAGCAAATAAATCACTCACAGTTTTTATTAGACATAAATCTCAAGATAGGAAAAAGAATGGTTTTCACTCATCAGGGAAGACAGTGTTCTCCAGTATTTGAAAGGAGTACACTGGGGCAGTAGGGCATCACTCTCTTTTTTTTGAGAGTAAAGCCAGTGAAGTCAGTTTATCAAAGATGGGATTAGATAGACACAGACCTCCCATTTTAAAGACAGGTTGTCTTCCAGAGCCAAACAGGAAGATTAGGACTTCCCAAAAGCTAATTAAATGCCATGCAGAAGGGCTAAAAGAGAATGCATTACTCAAAGGAGAATCTTAGTCATGGAACTTCTTAAAAAGAATTGGAGGGGTGGACTTTGGCAGGGTTCACCCTGTGCAGTCCAGGGGAGAGGTGCCCTGAGCCATAACATGAGTGCCTGGTCTGTATGGCAGTCCTACTACGGTGGTAGTTAGTATTCACATGCTCATTGCATCATTGTACTAAGTATGAAATACCCCTTTGGTGTCAGGCACCGTGCTGGCCAGCTGTTGAATCGGCAATGCTGATAAGGTCTCTGCTTCATGCTGCTAAAACCTTCTAACTAATTTCTTTCCTCTATGTCTCTATCCACCAAAACCCTTCACGAGTTGGCCTCTCCTATGGATAGATTAGTTCAGGGAGAGACTGAGCTGATAAAGAAATGCACGCACCTGGGTATTTGATAGCTGTGCTTCTCATAGTAAATTATTAAATTGTCATGCTAATCTATACCTCCCTCTCTTGTAAGTTGGTTTGCATCAGCTCATTCATGAGAACCTTGTCCATCCCAGGCCTGTGCTGATAACAGGTATGAGGCCCTGTGTGGTCATTAGCAACCTTTCCCAATGCTACTTCAAGACTGCACCATGCTCAGATTTTTCACACTTTCCTTTTACCACTTAGAATTTGGGGCTAGAAAGTGGGAGGAAGGGTACAGAAATAAAATTAAGAAAGTGTAAGGAATGAGGAAAAGGGTAGAAAGAGGGATTCAGAAGAGAGTCTAATTTAAAATATCAGAAAAGAACTGATAATGATATGCATGCTGAAGTGTAGGGATTAGGTGTACTGATGAATGCAATTTATATTGATATGTGTAAAAAATTAAAACTGGTCGATGGCTAGAGAAACTGATAGATATGTGACAAATTGAAGATAGCAAAAATATTAATTATAGTATCCAGTTATTATGCATAAGGGTGTTTACTATAAAGTTATTTTGACTTTCCTGTATGTTTAGAATTTTAACAAAATAGAGAATATAGGGAATAAAAAGAACTAAAGATTTAGTTTTCTTAATTTGCCCCTACTTTAACTCTTAATAGATGGAATTAAGATTTTGAAATTATGTCACAACTATCTGTATGCAGACAAGTATTTTTCTAGAACCTTTTCTCAAAGTAGTCATGGATAGTAAATAAACAAAAGCAAAAAATAAACGCAACTTGATGAGAACTGCTGAATGATCACTAGGTGCTGGCATTGTGTCACTAAGGAAAAGTCTTATCAAACTGCCTTTCCATTTTGACAGGAGGACTTGGATAGAGCGCAGGAACTCTGGAAAGACAGTGCTTCTCAATATCAGTTAAATATTTTAGTTTTTAAATTAAAAAAAAACCTCATTTTTTAAAATTCTGATTTCCAAACCACCTTTTCGTTTTATGGTGATTTTATGTTCTGCCTCTTATTGTTGTTATAATTGTTGTATATTTGCCTTATGATCTAAGAAAGAAGCAGAGGATATTTAGTTTGGAGGAGACAGTATATAGGGGAGTCATGACAGTTGGCTTCAATTATCTAAGGGACTATTCCAGAGGAGAGGAAGTTAAGTCAAATAGCATTGTTCTAGAAATACCATGAGGAACAATGGGAAGAAAACACTAGGAAGTAGATTTTGGCATAGCATGAGAAAGCAACCTCCAACAGTCAGAGCTGCATCCATAACAAGACAGGATGGGTCCTGGCAAAGGCCTCGAGCTCTGGGAATGATCAAGCAGAGACTGGATGAACATCTTCAGGCAGGCCCACTGTAACCTCTGGGACCTGGGTCAAGAGGTAATTGAAAGTCTGGCTTACCCCCAGCTCTTTCTACCTCTGGCTTCCCCCAGGTGCTGATGGGCACAGCACATACATGAATGGATACCTCAGTCCTCATAGTCTCTAAGGTGGGTGCAGTTTCTCAGGGATTCTTTAAGGATAATTCTAGTATTCGTGAGATATTAAATAAGAAGGCCGAGAAGCCCTGTAGGTTCCTTAGAATTCAAGGATAAAGTGACTCAAAATGTACGGACTTTATTATTTAGCTATAAGGGAAAGGAGAGAAAGAAAAATTTAAATTTAAAAAGATTGAATAAAAGACATAGATTGGTTGCTTAAGGTGTCTGTTGGCCCTTTTGGTTATTCAGATAAATTTTAAAATAGGTTAACATCTTTGTCTTTTTTTCTTTTCTGTAGACAGAACTGCTGTATGCTATTAATTTATAGCTCAAACCAAGCCCTTTGGGCATTTCTAAAAATTCAATTTGCCAACATGTTTTTTATTAGTCATAGACATCAAATGATTTCAGCAATGATAATATTTTCCTTTGCTTTTTTGGCATTCTCTAGCCAGGCAACCAAAGTGTTGTACTTGAACCTAATGGAGTCTGTTATGGTCTCCTTAGTAACTAGGAGTTCCCCCTCGGTGATTACTGAAAGGATAGGAAGGCTTTATAGCTAGCAGATAAATTCCTATTACCTTGCTCTTTTCCTCCTTCTCCTGCATGGTGGACGGAGGGAGGAAATCATGTATTTGTGCAATATTTTGAAAAGGAAATATCTATCTGTATCACATTGCTGAATAGCTTGTATTATACCAAGTCAATGGGAATTAGAACTAATCAGGGGACTATTTATAAAAGGGTTTCAACACAGAATTGCCAGCGCTGTTTAAAATTTCTTGGCCTTTCCACATACTTTGAATCATGGCCTCAGATTCTAAGGCTGGGCTTTGTCAGTTATTGCCATGAGAAATAGGGCCAGGCACATGACATCTCCAGGCCCTAGATCTCATTTCATGGAGCTGGTGGCGATTAAATGGCATTATACATAAATGACAGTACCCAGTACTATGTTTGCAGATATATGTTTCTGTTTTTGTCATTATTATTCCTCGAAACTCATCAGGGAAATTCTCAACCCTCCACCAAAACACTAAAGTATCTTTTCCAAAGATACTTTATACTTTTTCACTTTACAGAAAATAAGATTTGTAGTCTATTGAAAGCAAGCAATCTGTCTTCTTCTCCCTCTTCCTCTTCCTTCTCCTCCTAAATTAAGTTATCTGCATGATTGCATTGATCTCCTCTTCATTTTGTATGGGTAGATTAAACTTAATGTTCTGAAAAGAGACATGCAAATAGCCTTGATCCAATCTCCTGCCAGGGCTGGCCCAATGCCTAGGCAAAGTAAGTGGCTGCCTATGTGGAATGATGTGAGAAACACTCTAAGGCCCTACCTCTTACTTCCTGTGGCACCTCGGTCTTGGGCCTACCAGCACATGGCTTCTTCCCACTTTGTCCGAAACCTACCGCATTCGGCCCACTTTCATTCATTTAGAGAACGTGTAGAATAAAAATGGGTTTTATCTCCAGAGGGCCACTGATAATGCTACTACTAACATACAAAACAAAACAAAGCAACAAAACAATAAAACAAAACAAAACAAACAAAAAACAAAACAAAAATAACTTGGTTTGAATACAGAAGACACTGGCAGATTTCTCCTTTCATTTCTCTTCTAGTAGCGCATTAGTAATAATGAAACTGATGAAACTGATGGTAGCATTTGAATAAAACTTGGCTTAAAAAAATCAATTTTGTGTTTCTTGTTTCATATTTATACTACCCTCAGATGAATGTTTTAAATGTCCAGGGATGGCTAACATATTGTGCCATGTGTGTTCTTCCTTCTCCATGACAGATCTTTGATTTGGGGATTCCTTCACCCTGGGCTGCATACCTGGCTTCACAATCTTTAACCTACACTCCCAGCAGCCACTGTTCATTGATGAAACCTAATTACCATCTATGTCAGTGTCTCTGTTTTGTAGGTGAGACAGCGGAGGTCCCAGAGAGTTTGAGTAAAACTAGTCATGGT